GTGACTCTCCTAGACCAATCCCAACCATTTCCAGCGATTTTCAATTTTTTCATTTTCGGCCAAATTTACAAAGGCTATAGCCTTTGTGTTTTTAGCAAAAATTGATGGGTCCAGATATCGACAGAAAAGAAGTCGAATCGATAGATGTGAACCTGAGGACCTCAAAACTACTTTTGGTTCCGTCAGAAACCACCCCTGTCCTCAGAAACTTGAGTTTTAAGGGGTGGTCTTTTGAATCTGGCGGGCAGCGTACAACGAAATGCCTACCTAGCAGGCGCGCCCAAGAAAAACAGGCATAACTCACTTAAAATGGTCCGGCGGCGTGAATTTTCGACGGAGAGATTGAAAGAGGATGCTATCGGACCAACCCCAACCACTTCCAGCGATTTTCAATTTTTTCATTTTTGGCCAAATTTACAAAGGCTATAGCCTTTGTGTTTTTAGCGAAAATTGATGGGTCCAGATTTCGATGGAAAAGTAGTCGAATCGACAGGGGTGAACCAGGGGACCACAAAACTACTTCTGGTTCCGTCAGAAACCACCCCTATCCTCAGAAACTTGAGTTTTAAGTGGTGGTATTTCGAACTATGGGCTGGTTGTCTACGTAATGCGCACAAGCTAAAGTAACAGGAAAAGTACTCTGCTGTAGTGGGTCGGCTCCATGATATTTACAAATAGCAAGTGAAAGGGGAGTCTGCCCCACCAATTCAAACCAATTCCAGCCTGGATTTTGACGGGGGAGGATTGAAATTGTCAGGGAAGAACCAAGGCACTACAAAAACCATTAAAAACTGAACTTTGATGCACACCAAAGGGAGCTTCTCATAGCGTCTGAACAGAGACAAATTGGACCAGCTTTTGTTACTTTCATGTCAACTCACCTGCACTTTCAGGTAAAAATGACTCCATGGACTTCTATGCTCATGTCAAGAACATTTCTGGGACGAGTTCCTGCAATCATATTAAACGGTACTTTTAGTGCTCATCGACTATTAATTACATATAATTTACTCATACAATACACTTTTAAATGTCTCTCCCCCCATGCGTCTCTAAAAGACCATGGTCTTTCAAATAACTAATTTTGGCACTGGGCTAAGCATTAGGTAAGAAGGGGCAGCTGCAAATTATCTGCAACGCACATTGATTGATTGTTTGGGGGATTACGCAAATAGCACCACTCGGTTTGCACTCCAACCAGAAAGTAATAAAGTTTTCTGTTCCACGAGAATAATATAGAGTAACATATATGTGATAAAATGATATGTGATAAAACACTGGCAGTTCACCCATTTGCATAAGTAACCTACAACAGTATTTAACATACTGCATGGAGTGGAGGAGTCTACCCATTCAACACTTTTTCAACAAAGCTGACAGTGAGCCAAGTTATTTACATCACGGGCATCATTTACTCGGCCTCAAAAAATAACTTACATCTTAATTGTGCGGGTTAACATTGAGCCACAGGAGAACACTAACCTCCTACAACAATAACCGGGATGGAACAATTCAATATACCTTGCGATTAATGTCGAAAAGCGGCGATGTCCACTCTAAAATTCTGGTTAAAATCCTATGATCATCAATTATATGAGTAAGTATTATCGGTATTTGGCAGAAACGCCGATCGTCGTGCACCGATTTTTTACCGTTTGTTTACGTTTCCATAAAGGCGCGGGAAATGCGCGGTGGGGATGGGGAGGAGGAGACGGGTAGGGGACGCGGCACGGCAAAGGGAAAGAGCAATAATTACGGCACACTCACCGACATATCGTGGTCGCGGGATGTGATTCTTTCCTGGGGTAGGCAATCCCGCCTCGCTGGTCCAGGATATGATCCTTTGGGGATGCCTTCCGTCCCGTGCATGTTGTGTGGCTCCAGGCGGCAACGCCAGGGAAGTGCCACCTGACAATAGTGAAATGATCAGGATAAAAATAAACTATTATGGGCGATTTGCTGTTAATAATAATTATATTTGGCGACTTTAAAGAAAAATGTACCAGCCAAGGTACACGACGTTTTGAGCCGAAGCCGAAACGTATTTGTCGTGGGAGTGTCATATCGGTGTGCTCGGGACGTCCTCAATGACGTCCCCGGGGGCCCGGACGACATCGGCACCTCCAGATTTGGACTCAGCGTGCGAGAAAACCGCCGAACACGATATTTCAGTCGTCCTGCGTCCTGGTCGTTCCGAGGTTGACGGTCGGTCGGTCGGCCAAACCGTATCTCGTTTTGACAGCCCCCAAGACTCCGATGTCTTGGGGCTATGTGCCCTAGGGTCTCGTGCGAAGTTTATCAACCACTCGGGCCGGGTGGGTCGGGTAAATGCGATTTCAGCACTCGGGTCTATATTTTGTTCTTTACCCGCCCATCCGGCACATCTACCTTTAGGTGTGGGCCGGCACAACCGATCTCAGCCGCAGCCACACCCTGGGGGGTTGGCAACCCATCGTACTCAGGTGCCAGATGGGCGGACAGACCACGCTGTCGGAGAGTCCGGGTGGCTATGCCTGCTTTGCCCCTTTCAACACTTCAATTTACTTTAATACCGTAGGACCTCGTGATTCCTCCTCTTTTTTTTTCAGATTAGTTCTTTGGTGTCGTACTTATTTTTATTTCATATTTTGAGCTACGAGGCTGGTGTGGGAGATGTTCTTCGTTTTGTACAAATTAATTTTTTGAGATATTTTATTCAGAGGACATAGAACAGTTTTCTGTTCTATTGAAAATTCTGCAGATCATCCTAAAACAACAAATGCCGGCTGGAATTTAAACAGATCAGTGTTAAAATACATAGGCACAGCAAAATGACAGATGTAGCTAATTCCATCAAAGCATGTTAAAAGTTTACCAATAATTTACAATCTAAACCTTTTAACAGTGTGTAAAGTATTCAAGATATTTCAAGGTGTTAGTGTTGGTGCCAAGCAACAATCGCTATTGGGTAATAAAACGAGTTCAAACCATTATTCTTTTAGAAAATTGGCCATAAACGGTCATTAGCTGCTCACAGCCACAGCTAACAATTGAACTATAATAGAAGTTGGCAGTATAGTCTCAAGGACTGCAAGAGAGGTGATAAGTGTTGGATCATCATTTGAGCAGCACAGCTGCATTTTATATTTTGAGAGCTAAGCACAGTCATTAGTGTCAAGACAACGATGGCAGACGCAGACACTCTTTGCAAACCCTCATGTGGCCCCAAGATCAGAATCAAGAGGCTTGGTCATGTCATGAGCACAACATCACAGAAGCATGACAAAGATTACTAAAAGAGAGAAAAAATAAAAATAAAATACAGAAATGTATCTTCTACACATCTAAATTTCATTACACCTCTTCACCCCCATTTTAATTTCATACAGGTTCAGTCTTAGGAAAGAGAGGGTCACTCAAGCAGTTTACAGGTTGACTTAAGTTTAAACCAGTGGAAAAGAAGTGCAAGTAGACATCTACACACAGAGGAAAATAAATAAATGAAATAACACCCACAATATATTTAAGTCTTTCCAACTCAATTCAGGTACACAATTCCAGAGACTAAAACTTCCACATTCCTCTATCCAAAAAATGATAACATTCTTATAATGATAAAAGTGGGAAAAAAATCAGACAGTATTCGTTGTATTCAAAATGAAGTCATACTAAGAGGATTCCAGCATAAGATATATCCATTCCCCTTGTGTTGGTACATGGAATCTGCTGAATCACAGCCATTCAATAAATGAAAGTTTTTTCCAACTCTAAAGCTTGGACGTTATATCAATCCCACTACATATAACTGAGCACTAGTCAACAGGAAGATAGTAGGAAGTTTGAAGGAAAATTAGTAAATTTCTGCCATTATTAAAGTAACAAGGGCTGTCCAGCCATTGAAAGGATGACACCCTTTCCCTTCACCAGTTCTATCATCATAATTTTCCCACAAGAATCCTGTGCGTACAAATTCCTTATGCAGATTTTTTATTAGATTATCCCGCAGCTTGGTATAAATTTCACCAGCAAGTTTATTGTAGGGACCAGCTATGTTAGCATAGTGATGTAATGCTCGGCAAGCTAAATAGTTCATATTAATCCAGATTTGACCCCGCCAATATGGTGGATCATGTTCTGTATTACGCTTCAAATACAATGGGGAGTTTGGAGAGAGAGATCGAAGACCGTACTGAGTCCAAAGAAGAGCAGGATTCTTTATATCATTCAAAATTTTTTCTAAGTGCTTGCTAGTAGGCTCAAGAATTTGGATGAGGAATGGAAACAAATTGATATATCCAAACTGGGTATCAACAAAACCATATTCAGGATCTGTTAGGACTACTCTGATGAATTCATTGTTATTATATTCAGAACGAGGTGCAGCTGAAGGCTTTAGAAGAGTAACAGCATCAGTGTGCAAACCATAGTCTGCATATCTAGCTTTTTTATCTGACCAATGCAATTCATCAAGGAGATTGTTATCACTTAGAGAAAGATAGGTATTTCTGAATCTCTCCCCATCATGACCAAGCAAATCAGACAATTCAGCTATAACTTGAGCTCCTAATGCCATCCAGCACCTAAGGTCAATGTGGCGTTCCAAACTAGTTGGATGAGAGGCACGTGGATAATCATCCAACCCAGAAGTCAGAGTCTTTGGGTTCAGAAATTTGAGGGTGTCTGGATCACGTCCTCTCCAACGATAAGTTGTTGGTACAGTACCAATTTGAGTGGTGTTGAACCAGCTGAACCAAGCTCGAAGTCTTGGATAAAGACGCTCCAGACTGTCCAGGTAGTCAGAATTGCCAATGATTTCATCTTTGTGTTTCCGCAAGATTTGTTGCAAAGCAAGGAAGAAAGTGGGTGGGTTTGCATTTTGACTATGTTGAACAACAAACTCTTGTGGAACCTGGAAAATTTACAAAGAAAACATTAAATAAACATGGCAAATTAGTTTGTTAATACACAATTTTGCATGAAATAGTGGGAGCACCTTTGCAAGAGCTTCTGCTCCCAGAATTTGTTCGCGTGGTATCCATCCTTGGATATTCATAAGATCAAACCAATGGCACATGATGTCAAGTGTAATTTCCCGATCCCATTCTAGAAGCAGAAGAGCATGAAAACCTTCATCCCACAGAAAACCACGAGGGAAAAAGCTTCTTGATGGCACAGCCGTGTAAAGAGGAGCTTTCCAATATGGCACAGGTACCTAAAACAATCAAACAAATTAAGAAAATGATTAATCAAGATAGATTTTTAAAAAAACGTATTTTAAAAAAAATTATTGGAAATGCTTACAGGATTATGTTTGGACTGTACAAGAGAAGAACCATAAAAGTAGGCAATTCCACCGATCATATTGCTAAAGGCAGTCTTTGCAAATTCCTGCATAGATGAATCAAAGCCCTTCTCTTCCAGTTTAAAAGTACTGTCAAACTGTCGGTGAAATGCTTCCCTTCTCGTATTTAGATCCTTTTCATACGTCTTTTGTTGGATGAGTTCCTCCTGACAGATGAAAGAAAGGAGTTTTAATCATATACTTACCCTAACATTGTATTTTAAGGACAAAGAACATTTCTTACATATGCTTTTCCAGATTTGTACTTAATTTCAATTCCAAATGGGATCTTAGCATCAATTTTCTGGACACTCAAGTTGGGGATTGGATTTGGATTGTCTCTGGTAGGATGCAATTTTGTTCCTGGAAGTACTATTACTCTTCTACTAGTGTCACGAACCTGAAGAAGATGTAACTTTTAATAATACAAATCAAGCAAATGGGAATAAAATCTGCTAAAGAATTTTTAGTTTCCTTACAGCATGAAGAGAATGTTCAGTAATCTCCCTAATTTTGTCTAATCCCGATATGCGAGTGGTTAAATGAGACATCTGATAAACTTCACCAGAGTAACGTTCAAATCTGACAGAAAACTCTCCCAATTCTTCTGTGAACCCATCAATTCCAATATTCCCTTCATTGGTGGTTATACTGCCAATGGTCTTTTCATCAAGAGCCATATAGAACATCAAGGAAACCCCTTGTCCTTCACCATCGGGAGTCTGTTGAAACAAACATAAATTAACCTTGTTTACATGAACAAAACTGATCTAGAAGAATACTTCAAAAACTCACTAGTGCAGACACGTTTACATAAGCTGACCATTCGCCTCCTCGCCGTCCCCCTGGCTTCTTCACAAACGATGTTGTTAAGTTGTAGGGGTGGTCAATAATGTCTTGAACACCAAAGAAGCGTCCATCATGCTCCTTCCATCCATAACGTAAGTTATCATGCTGCTCACACCAGTGCCTTCAATCAGAAATTCAAATATTTCAGGAGAAAAATTCACAAGCATATTAATAACCAATCTATCTCAACCTTTTAGAGAGTGAATCAACAAAATTTTGGAGTGTTTTCTTTACATACCTGACACCAGCAAAGCCAGTCATGACATGAGAGTCAAAATACCACATGAGACCCATTACTGGAGATTGAGCTTCCCTTGTCTTCAGACCAAAATACACTCCTGGTCGATATGTTCCCCAATAACGATCTGGCACAGACAGTCCTGACTGTCCTACAACCTACACAGAGAGGGTAAGTCAAAGCTGAAGTCTGACAGCACCTACACAATTAGATTCAAAAGTGTGAAAACCAGTCTTACCTTGTATTTATCAAATGGTGTGTTCACACGAGTTTGAAGGTACCCATTGTATGTCAACAAACCAATTAAGGTAAGTACTCCACCCGTAAATGCCATGGCTGATACAGTCATGAACTTACGTGTCAGTGACATATGTTTCTGATAGTTGTGCTGGTGGACATGCTTTAAATGAGCAGAATATCGATCTTCATATTCATGAGCATCACTATGTGGCCTGCCCTGAGACCTGCCATGAACTGGTCTGGTCCCCAGCCTCACGGCGGGAACATGTCTGTGCCTTGGTCCCTCAAGAGCCTGGTACACGTCATGAGACTCAGTAGCATCCTGATGACCATTATGGCTGGACCCTTGAGTTAATTTGCCATGTTTTCGCTGCCTAGCCATCGGAGAGATCAACTAGAACAAAGTGACACATATGACAACAAGCTCTCTCACACCAGAATACATAATTAAGCTCGAAATTTCGAAGAAGATGAGAAAAGACTCAAAACAGATGAAAGAAAAGACCCTGATAACTCTGAAGCGAGCGTCAGCAAAAGGACAACAGCGGGTTAAAACCAAAACAAAAAGTGAAGTGGTATGCTTCACTGGTCACAGTTATCTAAATCATGAGATAAGATGACAAGGAAAGTAAACAAATGATGGAAAATATTCAAAATACATAATGTCTTGAGATTCATACCAATTTAATTAAGACAAGGGATCAATATTTGGAGTTTTTCAGGCAATGTCACCGTCACCGGTGCCTTAGTGGCAGGCCTCTTCTGCCATGTTCTGTGAATCTGTGAATAAGTTTCTCTTCTGCTAAAAACCTGCCGATAGTGAAAATTCTCTGGCCGTGCAACGGTAAGGAAGTCCTTGGCCAGAAAATACAAGAAGAAATTTTTAGCTTCTGCTTTGTCGTCTGTCGTCACTTCCTTAACTAAGCTAAAACTAATATGGCTGTCATGTTTACAATAATCAGTTAGTAGCGTTGGTTTAAAATGTAGACAACATTTAATTTAGCCATCCATTATCCATAACTTCTCTGCTCTTTTTCTTCGGTAAGCTCACCAAATTCTACTTTTCTCCAAGTTCATTAAGGGTGTTTTTGACGGAGGCGTCAAGTTTTCATTTTTCAAAAATCAGGTCGTTTTGTGTTCTGCACGTATTTATACTCCAGACAAGATATGTGAGTTACTGACTGCGAACTTCACTTTTCGAAACAGCTGTTTTTGACCTATGGAACATTTCCTATCAACTTTTGGGTCATTGTTAAATATCACGCTCACTGCTGGGAAGGATTCCTAACCTTTCCGAATGTTAACAATTCAAAGAGTAATTTATTGATATTCTTTAAATAGTTTCAACACAATTTACTTCACCTTGATATTTCTTTGGTTAAATATTTCTTGTTTCAGTTTACTTAAGTTTACCAAGAAAGACACACATAAGTTTTTGTTAGACTTTTACAGTTTACCATATTTTTATGAATTTCAGTGCCAACACCGATGCACATATATTCATCCTACATCTACACCTGCACCACCATTCCTGTTCCTCTAATCAACAATTGTTTCTCTGATGCAGTCTCACACAGGTAAGGATTGAAAGATATGACTTCTTACAAAGCTCAAGAAAAGTGATTTAATTTTAAATTCTTTGCTACAGGACCCCTCAGGTGTGCTGATTGTGATGACAACCATGACTTTTCATCAGCTGCTTCGCTACTCTCTCACTTTGCGCAACACATCATTATTGCTGAGGCAGGAGCACCGTTGGACTCCTCCAGTACTTCATGTACCTCTAGAAAGAAGAAAAGTGAGAGCTTAATGGAGCAAATTCTACAGCGCACATCAAAAAGGATAAGTTCTAAGAAAAGAGTTGGTTCTTCAGGAAGTGGCCCCCCCAGGTTGTTGCCCTTAAACCTTCAACATGTTGCCAATATGTGTACTCCACCTCTTCTACGGTTCTTCCAGAAGAAAGTGGAACCAGCAGATCTAGAACATGGTACAAATTCTTATGAAAACAAGGAACACCAGGATGTTCACTTGAATCAGAGCAGCAGCTGCAGCAGCACCAGCAGCAACAGCAGTAGCAGCAGCATGAACGGCCACCTTACCTCCAAGATTTTGAACGGATCGTCGGTCCATCTTGCCAAATTTGACATGCAGGAGCGATTAGAGAATTGTGTTTTGAATCTTGTTTCCAAACGGGATGTCAAGAGGTCAGCTGAGAGGACAATACCTGATCTACCCCCATTAATTCCAACTAAAAAGCTTTATACTGACAACTGTGAAAATTGGGACTGCACCAGTGCAGTAGAGGAGATCAACCCTTTAACTTTCTGCACCGTCACAATTGATGACTGTGAAAATGGCACAGATACTGATGAGGTGAAATTTGACGTGTCCAAGAAGAGTGGTACACGAAAGCAGCCAGCACCAAAAAGGATTTCAAGATCAGAAAATGATGTTATTCATGCATTAACATCAAAACTTCCTGAACACACTACATTAACATCTGTAGATTGTCCTAGTCCTGAGAGAGAGAAGCCTGTTTCCAAGAAGAAGTATCCTTGCCATATTTGCTCCAAAGTATTTGGTTGGTCTACTGATTTGAAAAGGCACATTCTCATTCATACTGGGGAGAGGCCTTTTAAATGCAAGCTGTGTCCTTCCTCTTTTACTCGGAATTTTCTTTTGCAAAAGCATGAAAGTAAAGTTCATAATCGCACTGCTGGTAGATTTGTTGTTAATGGCCAGTTAGATGCCATTGCCTTGAAACTACAATCTACTGATCAAGAGGACAACATTATCTCCCTTCTACCCAACCTTGAAACGCCATACAACATTTCCAGTAAACCACCTCTTGATGCACCAGAATTGAGTGAAGATGAAGCTGAAGCAGATGGGGATGATCGGAGCAGTGCTGATGAAAATGACAATCATAATCAGAAAATCAAGAACCTCGCTTTGGAAATGCAAGATCCATGTCGTATCAAACAGACCTGGCACTCATCAAATTTGGCTCAGCCAGCCCTTCAGTAGTAGATGATGGATGAAGTGCATCAATTGCATTAATATACTTATTAGGTAAATTCATAGAAATGAATTTGTTAGGGGTGTCAGTATGCTTCAGGCTATCCCTGTTTAATTTACCAGTGCAGGGATAGTCTTCTGTTGATATGCTCATTTCAGAGAAAAGATTCCAAGTAAATATTGACCTCGCTCTTTCTGTATCCAATGAAAATATGATTTATCATACTTGGTCCATCCTGGGTTTAAAATTTTAATATGGCTGCTAACCAAAACTCATTTATGGTGATTGACAAGAGCCCTATCTGGAATAATTGGTGGCTGCTTTCTGGTAGGCATGGAGTCCATTGCTCAACATATATGGGGATTTTATTTCTGGATAGATTTTCTTATTTCCCATCCTTATAGGGGCAATGAAAACAATGGTCTGTTATGACATGAACTGATTCTGTGGTTTCTCTTTTAGATAATACTTAATTCTATGCTGTCATTCATAGTAATGAAGAGGTATTTCCCTGCGGGACTTTTATTTGTTATATAAGTTCTCTTGTTGAACTTTCCTTAGAGTTTGAAAGTACTATGTTGTCATCTCCCTTGCTTTAGTGGAAGGTAAGTGCAGTTGGACTTCGTAGGCAGCTACAAACAAATCACGTGCATCATGGATGTGTTGTTGTCATTCTTTTTTTTTATTTCCTTGAGGATTTGTCAGTATTTAATCAGTGTTTCTAGGATGGAGAGAGCAGTAAAATGTGGCTTTGTGTTATCAAAGCTCAGTATTAACAGCTGTTATGGTTGTCTAGTCTCAAGTCAGATTATCAACAATCTAAGTATTTTTATTCCTAATTACAGGTTTCCAGTTTGTTAGTTCTTGAAATAATTATTGGTGACAATATTTTCAGAATCAGATTTACGTCTTTTTTAAAAAAAACAAAGGACAATAAATTTCCTATTGATAGTACCATACCACTCAGTGCATATGGATACACACATACAGTACTAGTGCACACAGCTTTTACCTTGAGAGTGCTCAAAACTGTGAATTTAGTTCCTTGAATGACTCGGTTGAGACCAAAGACATGCAAGTTATATCTTGCTACTATCGGTATGTATGTTCCAACTAGTTTCACTTAAAGCCAAAGGGCTAAGCCAAATGTATTGATTGTATTACAGTAAATTGCTTTTGAACGTCGGTGTTAGTTTCTCCTGTGGTAATTTTTTTTTGTTTCTGTTATTGTTATTTTAAAATTTTAAATTTGGGCGTTTTTATCTAACTCAATTTGTACTTAATCAGTTCATTAGTGAACAGAATAGTTATTACTCTGATACAGGTTTAAAATAAGTGTAACATTGACTATTGACAATAATTTTCAAATGAAGTAATGATATAGGGATCAAGTATAATTTTTTGTTTCTCTGTGTTGTTTTTGTGTGCGTTACTGGACTTTTTATAAATGGTAAAAAGAATACTATTGTGACATGTACCTGCTGTAACTTGTAGATGCTCTGTTAAATTGTAGAATTGCTTCTTATGCCCAACTAGGTTGGTAAATTGTCCTGCAAAATTAATCCAAAGCAATGTGGACTTCTATCAACTGTCATGAAGCTGTAGTGTTTCATTCAGAGTCCTTGTTTACAATAAGAGCTATAGTGCAAAATTTTTCTTCATAAAGACTGACCATACTTAATGCAATTTTGCTCACATTACTTGGGCTTCCTTCTGTTAGCATCAGACCTCAACTACAAGGATACATTGTTTTTCGTACCGGCTGACCAAGCATTACATGGTGCTGCGTTTAAGGAAACAAAATGCATATATCCAAACCTTAAGAGTGTGACTTTAATTTCTGAACTTCTTGAGGAAACAGTGCTATCAATACTCCTTTTAACTATGAAATCAGAAAGTTTCTTGCAATTTACAAAGGTACATGCAGAGTTCAATATGTGAAAGCTTGTCTTATTCTTATCTTTACCATGTTTATAGGATACTTATAAGTACCATGATTTGTATTTGAAGGAAGTTGAATGGAAGTGTTCATTCTTGCTTTCATCTTTCCTTCTTCTTGTTAGTTCAGTATTTCATTATGAAAGTTGAATTCTTGTATAATGTTGGTTAAATTTTATTGGTATTTTTTTTTTATTATTGGAACCAGTGACAATAACTTAAATCTGGGGTAACTCAGCATATAAGAAAAGTATTAAATTTTTATTTGTTATGTTTGTTTTTGTTTCTTCTTTGATAAGGTTGGGCAGAACTTAATGGTCAGTGTATTTCTTTGTGGTGATTTTACGGTCATTTAACCATTATAGTATCACCCTTTGCTAAGAGATTGTGATTGTTATGTTTACTTAATTCAAGTTCAAGTGGGTGGTCAAAGTATTACATTTTATAGCCACGCCAAAGTATAATCTTAGGACTCCTTATTAGGATTCCATTATCTTTCCAGTGGTATCTTTGTTTTGCCATGAAAATAGAACTGGGTGCTAAATTTGTCTCAAAATTCAAATTTTTTCAGACTGTTATGTTGGTTTCATACTCTGATGTGGCTTTGTCACCAAGGCAATTTTTCTCCTGTTATAGACACCTTTGTTCAGTTTACAATCAAAATTTTGAAAGTATGGCAAACTTATATATAGAAACTGTAATGACTTTCTTCGTCTTTAAAATTAAAGATTTATTTTATTTGTTTTAACTACTCTTTCAAATCTTCTTAATGACGGGGAACCACTGATATATAATGGCATGGACAATAAATTTGTGACAATAATAAGTGCAAGCATACAGTTGGTCAGTGAATATTAGTATGTTAAAACTTTGTAACAATAAGCATTTACATGTATCTATTTACAACACTTATTCACAATTCTTCTGTATTTATTTATTTCATCAAACAGTTGAAATATTGTTATAAATTTAAATGGGTCAGTTTTTGTTAACTTTTTATTTTTATGACATCAATATTTGAAAACCCTCTTCCAGTGCTTACAGACTGCTGCTAAACAACAGCAAGATTGAGTGTGAAAATGGTGATTCTTAACTCTGTCTGACAAAAAAATGTAGCGATTGTTATTTTTATCTCATTCCAGTAGGAACACAAAAATTGATGCAGTGAATGAAGTGCTGTTAAAGGTGAATCACCACCATATTTTTGGAATGATGTGCAATGTACTGTAGATGCTTTTAGTAGTAGAAATGTGTGGGAATACCTTCCGTATCTAGTCGGCTTAAATGCCAGTATGTACCTCTGAATGGTGCTTACTCAGAGAATTGTTTCACTTATATGTTATGTTACAGGATAGATTTATCAATTCTTTTAATAGTATATATATATTGGCTGTCATTATATACTTTTAAGTCTGAGCATCAAATTGGTGTTAGATGTATAAAAGGTACCCCTGTAAGTTTGAAAATTAGTTGTTTGCATATGCACACCCACCCCATACGTTTTTTTCTTTTTTTTCTTTTTAAAGTGGTGCTGTGTTGCAATCAACAATGCTGGTTGTAAACCATTTTGCCTGTTTCTTTCTCTAAATGCGTATAAGGGGAGGGATTTTAATCAATATTTTAATTTATTGGATTGTTACTCACATGCCTTGAGAGGGAAAATTGTGTGTTAAATTTACCACTCCTGTGGTATTACAACCATCTGGCAGCAGTCAAAATTTATGTTTGTATCTTACTTACATACACTTTTTATGTTTGTTGGTTTTCAAATCGCTTATGAAATGAGTATGTTAGCAAGAAATCGTTAGTTTAGTATTAAATGAGCATGGCTCAGTGTTTGACAATACAGTTTGTATTAGTATAAAGGTTTTGACTCATGTGTGCAACTAAAAAAAATAATTGAAACTGTTTGTAGTAAAGATTGTGTATTTTGTGGTCATATTTTATAAATCTGCTGTGTCGCAAAAAGCCTTTTTTTTTTTTTTTTTTAAATTCCCCTCTCACATGGATTTAACCATGGAGAATTTTGTGAATGTTTAGATATAAGTAGGCACAAGATTGTACTTTGGGATACACTAGTGATATGTGATTTATGAATAATGACAATAATTTTATTCAGACAATAATAGGATTTGTGATGCTTCGTTCGGACAATACATTAAAAAAAATAAAATTGTGACAATAAACGACATGCACCCAGGAAAATTAACGAGTCTTTTCTTCCCCTTCTACCCCATCCCAGACTCTTAAACTGATCAAATGGAATTTTGTGTTTTTGTCTATTTGGAGTTTTGGCGGGGGGCGGCGGGGGGTAGGCCACGGGCAGTGGTTGCGGGCTGGGCTGCCGGGTCCAGTCGGTGTCGCAGTGCCGGCCCGGGCAGAGTGTTTTCACTTCCATTTCTCACCGGGGATGGGAGGACCAAGGCGTGGCGGGGCGGGGCGGGGCGGGTCCATAAACAAGGGGCGGTGCCGTGTTTGTGTTTCTCACGTTTGAACACGCTGCATGGCGCCCGCCAGGGGCGGATCCTGAACAAGGCGATGTGTCCCGGGGAGGGGTGGTGGAGAGCGGGAGTATTTGAATGCTGCCCCCCCCCCCTCCCAAGAGTGTAGCCTGAGTCATGCCGCCTGCCGCCGGTGGTGGTGTAAAAGACCATCGAGAAGGAGAGGGCAACCTGGCCCTGGCTCCGCCTAACACGTCCCTGCTGTGCCGTGGGCTGAAATTGTCTGAAACAGCTGCTGTGGCCAACACCTCCCATTCGTGTAACCCGGGCCCGGGGGTAAGGTTTAAAGCAATCAAATTACTAGGACATGTTTCTCTGACTATATGTCGGGAAGTACATAGTCATTGAACAATACAAACTCACACATAAGCGCCCGCTCTGCACCATAGGGAGTGATGATGAGGGGTGGGGTGGGGGGACTTTACCCTGTGGTAGAGACAGTCTTGGGGACTGTCTAAAACTCACAGGCGTGCGGGATGCGGGCGGGCTTGCCTACTCTGTCACTCCGTGGCGCCACCCGCCTGACATGAGCGCAGTATAGTGGCGTGCCTCCATGGATGGACTGCCTCTTCAGGGGGGGGGGGGGGGCAGAGACTTTCTTTCAGCCGATCTGGAAAGAGCATCTCGGCATCTCTCGCCTCCCCGCCGCGGGCTTGCCGGGCGTGGGCCGAGGCAAATGGGCCGGCGATGCAGCAGATTCGATCGACAGTGATTCCTCAAAACCTTTCGTTCTTGTACCGTGTTCGTAGTGACGGACGTGCAGCACGTTCATCTGAATTACATTTTTTGAAAGTACGTACTTTGTGGTGTGTGTGTGTGTGTGTGTGTGAAAGGGAATTTTCTCCTCCTAGTGCAGATCCTCTTTTACAGTGCTTGCTGCGAGAACAGCAAATTGAAGATGCGCTGCTGGGACTGCTGCGGGTACTTTGAAATGTATGAGGAAAAGTTCATCGGCTGTTCTGGACCGCGCGGGTTCTGTCCCTCTCCCCTCCCCCGCC